AAACGACAACAGCAGCAGTGGATTTCAGTCGAGTGTTGACTGCGAAAGATGATCGCAAATCGAATCAAAGCGAACTAGTTAGGAGTATCAGTGCATTTTCAGGTAGGAATCATCACTGTGTCCTGAAATCTCATTGAAAATTGGTCTCAATATATAGACGGAGTGTTTGAAATAACATTAATCCCGTGATCGTTGTTAAAATTTCCATTATTCATTAACAGAATAACAAGTTTTGCGGTGCTTAGGTAATGCAGTTTCAGTAGGATAAGATGATCAAGATAAGTTTGAGAAGAAATTGTCAGTAAGAGGAGACAAATTCCGAATATTGTGAGCCTGTGCGAGGATGACAAATGTGAGCGGCCCGGCCCAACAATTAGCAAGAATTTTTGAAACGCGATATCCAGCTTCACGAACTCTGAATGAAGCTTATTCCTTGAACTCATCTTAAAAATAATATGAGAAATGAAAAAATTCACGTTCGATTACTCGGTACAGTCAACAGAAATGTGCATTTAAGATAAACTGAAACAAAGTCGTAAGTTGGCAATGCAAGAGTACGAGTGGCTAGCGACCGTGGTGGATCGGTGTTGTTTTATTGTTTTTGTTATACTTTTTTCGATCATCACTTTTGGCATCAATGGAATCGGCTATTATCAGTGGAAAGCAGCTGAACATTTCATTTCAGAAACGAATGATGCAAATGATACATAGTCAGTCATTCGATTAGTGCTAATTAACTAAGTTCTCAATAGTTTCATGATTGTAATGTCTATTATGTCTCCTGCTTTCAAGCACTTTTATGATGTCTTATGATTATTCTGACATTCGATTCAATCACTCACGGCGTCCATTCGTCCATCTAGAGCTTTGCATGCAACTGATGAATTCTAAAAACTGTTTTGAGTCCATTAAAATTAATCAAATAGCTGTTTCTCATGGTTTTGTTTTGGATACCTTTAGCGGATCTTCAACCATTGCATCATACCTTCTTGGAATATTAGTTTCATTTGATTGTCCTATCAGTTTCATTGCATTTGTCTCATCTTGATCTCTTTTATCTCATTTGGCCCCATGCTTCGAATAAATCGCAATAAATATTTTCGGTTAATGCTCAGGGGATCGCTTTGCTCTTTTATATGGTCATTTGACCAGGTCTGCTAGCGCAGACTACATTTGTTTCAAGCTAATAGTCATGAAATTGCAAGGATCTACTACATTCCACATGGTGTAGTCATGAAATTTAAAAGCAATCCTTATTGTTCATGTTCACTAAGTGAGAATTATCTCAATTCATTGCTGCCCACCTTTTATGGATATTAATTTTGCTATCGATACAGTCATGAAAGATTAAATTACTGAAGCCAAATCAGTTTAATAAAGCACTGAGAATATAGATGTTGGTTGTGGCACAGCTCTCGTCATAAGGATTCCTCATGCATTAAACGATAGCAGTCAGATAAATAACCTCAATTCGAATGGCGTGAAGACAAAATTGAATTTGTCTTAATGAAGCTTCCATTTTCCTTCATTATATTCTACTGCGATGTTTCGAATGTGTTGATACGATGGTCAATTGTGGATAAATGTTTATATCATAAATGATCTATCCTATCAAATTGTTCCTTATCATTTGGCTCTTAAGGCCATCCATTCTGATAGCTGAGCAATTCAGTAAGTTACTATTTTCTTATCATTCGTTGATTCTGCACTGATTCACTGGGATTTCGATGGTACCAAAGCTATATCAATCATTGCTTATTCCAGTCTGTTGTAAGCTATCGAACACTATTTGGTATCGTTTGATTGCAGTGCAAAAATTTTCTCGTCAGATAAAAGAATTACGAAGAATTTGCATTTAATGGCATGGATTCGTGCAGCTTTTCCTAATTTCTGCTGAAAGTGAGCATTCAATTTCCTGCTATTTCTTCTAATGAAAGTGAGCAACATTTGCAGTGAATTCAGTAGGAAAATTGGAAGTGCAGCCAGAAAAGAGGTCGTCATCGTATCATGAAGTACCGTTGGTACGACTCACTCGTGACCTCCTCGCTAAAGACAGGTAATAACCACGGCATCGAAGGAACATTCAGTGAATTCGGTTTTCCGCAATGACACGAATGAAACAAATGCAATCATTTCAGATACGACAAACGAGTTCGCCCGATCAGTAATCATTCAAAATCTTTGAAAATTCATTTGAGTATGAGTTTGTACCAAATCATCGATGTGGTCAGTTTAACTCTTCGGTGATCTGGCAGTTGAGATCAAAGAATTTTTCAGAAGCTAAACTCAACAAACTCAATATCTAACACAAATCCAGTCTCTTATTTAGATGCAGTGTCGAGTTGTCGAAATTTTGAATTGAAACCTCTACACTCATCTAGTAACTCATAAATTCTAAACAATCGTCATCTTCCTCATAAATCTGAGAATCAGAAGGGCTTCAAATTTCAGGATGAACCTTCGCAAACAATCTCACTGAATATGTGGATGATTCAGGTAATCTGGAGTGTTTTTTTTCAAGTTAAAAAAAGTGACCGCAGTTGATCGCTTGACTTAGAAGAAAAATTCTCGTATCTTTTATAGAATTGGACCGACGAGATGTTGACCTGGGATCCGCAAGACTATGGCATGATCAATATGACAATTCTACCGCATTATGCAATTTGGATACCTGATACGTATCTCTACAATAGGTGATTAGTATTCTCAAATAGTACGAAGATTGAGAGGCACTTAAGCAAAAAATTACTGCCGTTCAATTGACTTCAGATGATATCTGGATCTAGGAGAGCTTATGCATTCCATTGATCTTCCGGAATATGTCTCATTGAAGTTGAACGTGAAATCATGTATGGTTCATCGGATTATATTAAACGATCAAGAAATGTTTTGATCTATTAGATCAATTCTAATGTTTTCATTAATCACACTGATTCTACTTCAGTTAATGATCACATTCAATTAGACTGCTTAAACTTCAGTTCACTTACGTAAATATAATAAAAGTCAAAATAACCTTACGTCAAACTGATTAGCCTTATACGTTAATCCAATCGTATCCTTAATTGTTTGAGTGTTGTGATGAGTCACGATGAAACCGAACGTTTCATGAACGTTAAAGTCTCGTCAAGGCATTGGGAGAATACGACTGGAGCGAATATCTCATTTCTATATCCTGCTATCAATACACTCACGTGCCGTTTGAACGTGCGATATTTTCCTTACGATCAACAGGTTCGTATGATTTCCTCAAGTGTTTTCATTCAAATGCATTATTTTTGTTCATTATTCATCGTTGGACAAGTGTTCAATCGATCAATCGGAATGTATTTTCGGGCTCTTTCTGAGTCTCTCTCCCCAGAAATAAATGGGTATATGGAAGAGTAGCCCAAAACCTCTGTACTCGCCAAATCAATAATTCAAGTTCGGATTTTATGAAGACAGATGATNATGTGATATTAGTGATATTGGTAATAACAGAGAGGCATAAACTCGTAATGAGTTGGATTTGATTTGCTGATTAAATGTATTCAGCGTTTCACATCAAATTGTTCCAATTTCTGATGATTTTCCTTTATTGAATTATGGGTTCGATACATTTTAATGAAGCAATCAATCGTAATCATTCTGGATTGCAGAAGTGTACGCTAATAATAAGTTCGTGGACGAACAGTATTGCGGCGTTGAATTATACGGCCGAAGGGAATGTGAATATGGAATCGTTCATTAGAAGCGAAGAATGGGATGTTATCTCATTCCGAATCCATCGACATGAGGTCTCTTCTGCTAAACGCCTAATGATCATCCTGGAGAACATGTTGCATCATTGCCTAGTTTTGAATTGCTCTTTAAACAGTACTTTTACGGAATGCTTAGTTCAATTTCATTTCTGGGCTTTCAGAAGGAAGTAAATTTTGGTCAGCTGAAAATTTGAGATGAAATGTTTTATAATGATTAAGTTTTTTCAAAATTGCAGCGAGTGTTTGCGTGTTGCGCCGAGCCATGGGTCATGATTGAGGCCACGCTTACAATTCGACGAAAAGCGTTGTATTATGTTATTAATCTGATCATTCCTACTTCCATCATTACTATCGGTAAGATGATTGAACAGAATCGATTGAATTCTTTCAGCAACGAGAATACCTCCAGTGCTTTACCTAATTACTCTGAATATTGTACTGTGATGTGCCAAAACTCATCAAATTCTCATTTTTCTCGTCTACATATTCAGTTGTAAAAGTATTCATGCGACTCCAATGAAACCCTTATGAAGTCAAGTTGGAAGGTCAGATTAATGAGTGAATTCAAGTATTTCAGTTTCGATAACCGGTTTCTTTACGCCCGCAACGACAAGCGATGATCGCACTGAAAAGATCAATCTGGGTATAACCACATTGCTGGCGATGTCCATTTTGATGCTTATGGTATCCGATCAGATGCCTACAACATCTGATTTCGTTCCACTTATCGGTAAGCCTCGGTCGGCTCTGCTGCTGACCGACCACTTCTTTGGAATCGTAGTCTCTAACTTCTGTATACCTTTAAGTTTCCAGTGTTTCGGTTGCTTGAACCAATGAAGATCAGTTAATGTGAAGAATATCAACAAAATGATATCTCCGTATAAATTTTGGTTCATTAACAGGTTGAATGAACAATATCATAGAGATTGCAATGTCGAATTTTTTTGTTGCTAAAATTTAACTTGCAGTCGATACAAGCAATTTCATATTTTCACACCTACATACATGTTCAAAGTTCAATTGCTTTTTGCATTCTAATGAAATGGAACTAAATGAAGAGCGATTATTGCAGCATGGTTCTATTTGTCAGTAATAATAATCATCTCAATCGGTACCATGCTGACCACAGTCATTATAAATGTTCAAGCAAGGAGACGTTTTGGTGTATTACCTGCCGACATTGTGCGAATCGTTTGCTTCGTTTACCTGGCGTATTGGATGTTTTTAGCAATACCAACGCAGTTAGTGCAATTATGGGATGAACTGAATGTAAGTTATTGAATTTTGGATTCCAATAAAAATTCTTGACGATCAGTTTTCATCATTTGAAACTATTGAGGGAGGAGAGGGGTTTTTCGTAGGAGTATAATTTGACTCACACTTGACGCTGGATCCCTTTGAGGAACGGAGTTGATCACAGTATCAGATCGATATAAGAGCGACTCTTATATCGAGGACTGATTCTTATATCGATCACAGTATCACAGACTGTGATCGATATAAGAGTCAGTCCTTGTAGTCCATGAGGCGAATATGATCTACCATTGAGAGGTATTGAGGCTGATGGAAATGCGGCCAGAAAAACTTGATATAAAATAGTTCCGAGGGCAATGAACCCAGAATATTTTGCTAGTTCAAGTCAAATACTGAACGAATTTGATAGCTGTTGAGGGAATTTTGCTTCATTGACAGGTTGAATGAACCGTTGATAATTTAAGAATCATCCAGCGGATAGTCGAGCGAC